ATGGGGCAAGAAAGCGCAAAAGAAAGATACTCTGAGCTCAGCTTAGACTAGAACACAGAACCTTAAAATGAAAGGCCGTACAGCCTAAGCCCTTGCTCAGGAAGAAATTCCTTTTACAGAATCAGTGATTAATTAGCTACGTCTAAAATGTTCACTGCAGTGGGGGGGGGGGAGGGAGCGCCACTTCACAAGGGTTAGTTCTCATGGTGGGCAGTGATCAATTTTATATTCTTTCTTACTTTGAGCTGAAATCCTTATCCCATCACTTCTGTCCTACTTATCCTAGTTCTGTCCTTAGGAGAAATACAGAACAAGTCTCCTGCACCTTCCAAATCTCCCTGCCTTGAATATTTGAGGGCAATTTCTATGTATTTCCTGTATTTTCTATCTCCATATTAAATACTACCAGTTGCTTCAATTATTCGTCATGTGACATGATTTCCAGATGCTGTGAGTAAACGGGAGTCGTAGCCTGACTCAAAATTTTTCCCAAAATTTAAAAAAAAAAAAGATCTGAAGGCTTATTTCTCATTTATTTACAACTGTAATTGACATAAGTAGAAGGACTGTCCAGAACCCAGTAGTCCTCCCAGGAGCTGTATCAGTGCTAGCTCCGCTTCATGTGATAACACATACACACACACACACACCACGCATGGGACGGGTCTGTGACACAGAGTGGGTCAGAGAACCTCATTTCCCTGGCCACACTGATTGGCAGAAAGAATGGTCCCAAGTTTCAAGCCTGACAAATCAGGCATCCCCACAAGGTTTTAGACAAACTCAGAGAAGTCTTGCTTTCCTCTCAGCTTGTAGAGCTATTAGATCTGACAGCCATTTACTCATTTTACAGAATAAATCAATTTGATATAATCAGTTCGATACACAAAGGGGAATGGGGAGAAAGTTTGCAAATCTCCAGTTCCAACCATTCTTGAAACCAACTCAACCCCCATCTTTCCTGTGGTCTGGCAATTAAGCCAGTTATTCCCCTCTGCCTGAATTGAGTTTGAGTCAGGTTTGTATCATCTGCAACACAGAGGATCCCAACTAATACAACATTCCTAAGGCTCCAACCACTCTAACAGGATCAACAGAATGGGGGTCATAAAAGAAAACAATTGCCATCCCACTCTACAAAAGGCATGGCTGGAATCTCTTTCCATCATTATTTAAGAATGAGAACATACTCACTTACTGGAGAAGATCAAGGTCTATCTTTCCTAATAGCCTAAGCTCTTTGGGCTGACACTATTTACTTAAAACTGTATTTCTTGAACTGTCACAGTGCCTGGCCCATGGTAGGTGCTTAAGACACACTCCATTATACCTGTCATAGTAAAACAGAAGACACAGTAGGCAAACCATCAACGATAAACCACCAAAATGATGACATGAGTTCCCTGGGGAAAACGTAGACATATCATTTCACCTCCTTAGTATTACATTACCCACTTGCCATGTAAATTATGGGACTAGATTATCTCTTCAGTCTTTTTTACCCATAAAATGCTATCCATACTCAATTATGGTAAAGAAGAGTCTTCTAAAGACCTGGGCATACAGATCAAAAAGGGGAAACACACTGTAACAATGAAGGAAGCACAAAGACAATGAGAAAGAATAACCTACCAAAGAAATAACAGAGAAAAGACAGGAAAAGAAAAAGAATGGGAAGAAGTCATTACTAATATGATAAATACGTCATGCAGATAAACCATCTTCCTGTTAGCTTTCAGTCTCATTCTAACCAAATTCTGTGGTCAGAAATGCCCTCTGCACTGGATCCAAACTTCCAGCCCAGAGCCTTGCCCCTCTCTGGGCCTGGATAACCCAAAGGATGGCTCCTTCCACTCCACCAGTCTCCTTTGAGAGCCAGCTCCCTGCTTCTGCCTGTGATGTTAGAGGTTCCAAACTCCTCTGTCACCAGTCCAAACTGTTTCTCTCGTCACCAACAGAATGTACACTCCATTATACTGTGTGCCTCCCATCCCTGTTTCTCATCCTGTCCCCTGCAATGACTGATGCCCAAATGTCCACAGCTTTCAATTTATTGCCAAAAGTTTAGAACTCAGGATTCTGTCTCCATACAAACAATCATAAAATGGCATCTGTATTAATTAAGGTGGCCCATTTATACTGGGCTGCTCTAAGGAATTGACCACATTCCTTTTGTGAAAGAAGGCCTCGATTAGGGCAAACATTGTTATTGCAATTGACAACTAATATTTAGTATTACTACACACCTGCATATCAAGTATTGAGCACTATGTACCAGCATACTACACTATGCGCAGACACTATGCCAAGCAGTTCACATGCATTTGCTCATTTCGTTCTCAAAACACCTCTAAGAGGGAAATACCAATTATTATCCACATTTAAAGATGGAGACTCTGAGGTTCAGAAAGAGTCACTTACTAACTTACACAACTAATAAGCACAAGAGACTTGTCCATCTGACTCCAGAATCCTCACTCTTACGCCTTGCATGGCCAACAAGGACATTGATCCCTGTGAGAAATGGGGAGGGGGGACCTTGGGAGAACCAAAAGCAAAGAGAATAGGGAACCAAAATCAACGAGACTAGGGAACCAAAATCAACATGATCTGCTTCTCGGTTTGGCACAGAGTCAGCCCTATTTGAAGTAGAACCTTGTTTCCATTATGTAGCCAAAGATTATCTGCCATTTTGCATTGTGGAAATGTACCCTCTATTATTCAGGCTAATCTAGTTGACTGTAGAATGCTGTACACAGACATTCTAAAGACAGACAACTAATTCAATCTTCTCTGCAGGGAAGATGCTACTGAACATCTCTTCAACTTTTTCCCTATTGCTTTTGATGCAGGGCACTTCACATAAGCCACAACTATTTCTTCCTAAGGCATCTAGAGGAGAAAAGTAATTGAGAATACCAGGAAAAGAAGAGAAGGTGAGGATGAAGAGGAAGAAGGATTACCAAAGATGGTACCCAAAAAAAAATGACAAAAATTTTAAAACAATGTTTAAAAAAGGGAAACCAGTGCAGGTTATTATCTGACAACTTGCAATTCTGAGAGAAATGAATGTTCATGGTCCATCACCAAACAAAGAAAGGCATTTGACTGTGCAACAGAAACCGCATGTTCAGATAGCCAAGAGGTGGCATTATCCTAAATCAGAGAGTAGAGAGATGCTGAGTATTTCCTATAGAAGGAAGACCTCATTGCTGTAATCTATGCAGGGTCTGTTGTAGCAACAGCATTTCATCACTAAGCTAAAATCCAGTTTTCGATTCCATAATCTCTAATTCCTCCAAAATCTTCATCTACTCACGAAGACTTTCATATTGGTAGAAAATAATGCCAATCCCTACTGAAGAATCACTAGATATTTCTACGTAATACTTAGTCTTTAGTTTTAGTGAGATAGAAGCTGGGAACCAGATTAGCAAACTCTCTGGGGTCATTCAGGAATTAATACATAAAGGTGTAAATGCAAAAAAGTACCATTTGGGGTGAAATATAACAGAGACTGTCTCTCATTGAAATAATAGTCTTGTTTGGTAGGAAGCTTGAGAGTTAATTATTCATTGAAAAACTGCTTTAAACAAAAACAGAGGGGCAGGATCTAAAATACTACACAATTAGAAATCTTTAAAAGTAAAATGTCCTTAAAATATACTAAGGAGCTTACTGCTTTCAATCCAAGTCCAACCAGTTTCTTATTCTAACTAATTTCCATTAAACAGGGAAAGGAGCAGGGAGGAGAGAAAGTATTTGAAAAACTGCCAGAGTAAAAAATCCCATAATGAAATTTTGCTCATTCTTGAAGAAATGAGGTAGAATTAGATGCTTCAGTGGTGGTGAATTCCAGAATCTGGGCAGCTTCCAGTAAATGAAGCTTTTCCATAATGTCAAATGCAAAAGCTATCTGATATCAACATATTGAGCTCGAGTTTTTAAATTCCTATTTCCTTACACCAAATTGTTTGAAACCTTTGAGATAAAAACCTCAATAAACTACTGTTCCAAGCTTTTAATATTTTAGTCCCTTGAGCAAGCATGTCAGATTAATCTTCAAATTACAATGGGCAGAAAGAACATTCAACCAAATTCTTAAGCCTATGCCTCTCTCGAAGGATGTTAATAAGGTAAGCAGTTTCACTGGCTATTAAAATTTCAAACTTTTCCTGATTCTCAGCAACATTACTATTTAAAAGTGGGGGTGGGGCGGGAAAGGAAGCCATTCTGTCCTGGAAGGAAGAAGTTTCACTTACTATCTTCGTATTCACTTAGCATTTAGCACACTGACAGGCACACAGTAGGCATTTAACAAATACTTTCAGAATGAGATGATGGATTGGGCTGGGGAGGGGGGTGGAAATCTTGCTGAGAACAGAGTGAGTCCAAATCCTGGCATTGCTCAGCAACAAAGCCCACTTGCAGAATTAGGGTTATCGAGGTGAGCAGGAATTTGAACGGGTATCTTCAAAGCGGCATCAAGAGAAGTGCTTCCTGAGCAGGAGAGCAGTCACCCTACTAGAGCCACTTAAAGACGGAGTAAACTCATCTCTGGCTTCTCCATGACCGGAAAACTCCTGCCCTGCCTCCGTGCAGCTCCCCCTGCCTTTTACCTGGTTTGAGTTTCCCCTCATAGAACTTAGGGACAGGATTCGACCTCTCTGATCTAACCCAAGCCTCGCCGTTCCACGGTGTTCCGCGCGTCTGCTAAGAGAGAGGCCACACCGTACTAGGCACATGGAAGGACACACACAGGACGACTGCTACCGAAACCTTTGCGGGCGGGGGGACGGCGCGGGAAGCGATGGGGGCGAGGGGAGGAGCGAGTTCAAGACCGGGCACTATCCAAAGGTTTCTTATCTCTCTCCCAAAGCCTCGGCCCAAACCGCTGGAAGATGCTGGGGAGCCACCTGCACGCCGAGGGAGAGCGGGATCGGGACTAGGGGGAGAGGGCGGGGAGGTGGCAAGAAGCGAGACGGGGCAAGGGACAGTACCTGGTGTGGCTGTGGTTGCGGGGACAGTCTTTCTTCTCCATAATGGCCGGCACGCAGTTGGTGAGCTCCGTCCAGTCGGCATGCAGTCCGCAGCTCCAGCCGGTGGAGAAGCGAGAGAAAAGCCACGTCTCCTTCTTGCCCGGCCGGTGGCAGGTGCACTTCTTCTGGCCGGCTTTGCAGCTACACGGCTGCTCCAGCCGGATGTTCTTCACCAGGTGCCGACCGAACGTGGTGCCCCCGGTCTTCTGGATGTGCAGGAACACGATCACGTCGCGCCCTTTGATGTTGAAATCCACGAAGCGGGTCAGGTCCTTCAGGGTGAAGTTAAAGCGCGGCACGAACCGGGGCAGGGAACCGTTCTCGGGGGCCTCCGGGTCCGGCTCCTCTTCCTCCTCCTCAACCTCCTCCTCCTCCTCCTCCTCAGGGTCCCCCGGCTCCTCGTCCTCGTCCTCCGGCGCCGCGGCCCCCCGAGACCCCTCGGGCGGCCCCCGAGGTGGCGGGGGCAGCTGGGGCCGTCGCTCCCACTCCTCGAGCGGCGCCTGTGCCCGGCGGGCGGGACTTGGGGCGGCAGGCTGGCCGGCCTCCCCGGCGCGGGGCTGCTCCCCGAAGTTGGCGCAGGAGCTGGTGCAGGAGGGGGACACGTACTGGTACATGATGACCACGAAGAGGAGAGTGAGCACCGGCGTCAGCAGCCACCTGTTGAACCTTTCATCCATGGTCCCGCTCTCAGGCCGGCAGGCAAAGCGGCGGCGGCGGCGACGCGGACTGGCGCCCGCTCGGAAGTTTCGCGGACTCCGGGGCGCGGCTCCGAGCCCGCCGCTCCTCCATGCCCCTGACGCCGAGGCGTGCGGCTGGCTGGTGGCCCCGCGGCACTCCGGCGCTCCGGGGCTGGCAGAGCCGGGCCTGCGAATCGAGAGGGGAGGCAGGCG